GGCAAACAGGGTTGACTTGCCAGGTTCATACAGCTAAGAAGTGTCTGAGGCCAGGTTTGAACTGAGGAAGATGAGTCTTTCTGACTTCAGGCTTGGCACTCTGTGCACGATATCGCCACCTGGCTGCCCATAAAATGCATATACATTTAGTCCGCTCAGTATAAATTAAGTAAATGTATCAAATCATAGAAGAAAACTCCTAAGGATACTTATGGCTTTACCTCACCTAAGCAAAAAGAAAATGTCATCTGCTAAGACCTGAAAAGAAAGACTATTCATATCATTTCAGGCAAGAAACCCTATCTGCATTTTGATCTTGTAAATTTTTCGGCTATTGAAGATGAATTCTTTATTGTGGGGGGAGAGAGAGTTCCAAGGACACTTAATCACTTACACTAATTTCAAGAATAATTTTTAGGACAGTTACAGAAGGGAATTGACTTTTACTGTAGCCTTTCGACTAGAATGTAGTCTCTGTGTTTAGTTTTCCCTGCAAGAAATTTAAGTTGAACTTTGTAGAATGAGTTATAAAATTCTTAAAGTGTTACATGAGGATGTTGTTCTAATAGATTGGGGCAAAGGAAGGAGAAGTAACAGTTAAAGCAGTCTGTTCAGAAACTGAAACCAGTTTAATTCCAATGGAGAGTTTATTTTCTTTTCACAGTCCTGAGGCCACATATTCCCTCTCACTCAAGTCTTATTACTTCCATCTTCCATAGTTTCCAGATCTAAATCATCCTCTTGAATTGGACTTGGATGAAAATAGCCTTGTCTAGCATCCTTCCTATAAGCAGATTAAAACATAATTGCAAACTTATTCAAAATCAAGTTTTCATTGGATATTTAATTTTTTTGAAAGTCATGTCCCTAGCTTGCGTGGTATAAATATTTCTCTTATGAGTTTTCTAAGGAGGTAAATCTCAGAATTGTCACATTTAAAATGTCTGTCTCTGTAATGCTGAATTTGTAAGCCATTTAAATTGTTTTAAAATGATACAAATTAGAATTAAAATATTGTGGTGACATAGCACAGGGCTTTGTTACTTCTAGATTTTGGTTTTCATTGTAAATGAAAGTAGAAATTGAAAGGACCTTTATTTAAGCTATATAATAACATGAAGAAATTTTTACATGGTACCTAATCTTAAAGTTTAAAAAAGTACTTTTCTGTAAGGTTTCAAAAGTGTTTTAATATGATTTCTTTAGTTTCAAACAAAATACAGTTGAAATATACTTCAGCAATTGATTCTATTATATGTATTACATATTGTATATACTCTTCTATGATTTTTGACCTTAGGAAGATGTCAGGTTGCACTGTTTTCTAGGTCTCTGACTTTGAAACAAAACAAAAGGAAATTTGTTACAGTCTCACAGAGAGAAACACTCCATGTTTTTATGTTTGGGAGATGGAAGAGAAAAAACATCCCTGTCCTCCCCTGAATTCATGTTTGGGAGACAGGATATGTTATGGCAACATAGTGGCCTAGCCATTTCTGAAATTGCAGTCACAGCACCCTCATTCTCAAAAAACTCTGTAGAGTTCCCTGAAGTTTGAATTGTTCGAATTAAGTACAAGTTCAGGTCAAACAAAGAATCCAGAAAGTAGAGGTCTGTTCAGAACTAGCGCAGAAAGGGAAATAATTGTGCTCTTCTTATGATGAGAATGGTTGAATCATTAATTCAGAATCCTTAAGTAAGTTCCTTTGTATTATTTTATTCACAGAACCGTAAAGAGCAGAGTGTATTTTTACCTTGACTGATGTATAACCTTCTAAAAAGGATCATAATCTCAAAGCTGGAGGCCACATTGATTATGTTATATGTGTTTTGTTTTAAATTAATCTTGAATGAGATTGCTGTAGTAAGTGCCACCATATAATTGTATATGATTTATGATGTAATAATATTTGTATCATTGTAGTAAGTTAAAGTGATTGATTCATAACTTTCAGGAATTCAAGTAATAGTGAGTTCATCCTCCTAAGAATAGTCAGGAAGACTTGAATTCAAATCTGCCTTCAAACATTTCTTGGCTTTGTGACTCTGGACAAGTCACTTCACCTCTGTTTGCCTCAATTTCCTCATCTGTAAAATGGGGGTGATAATATTAGCACGTACTTCCCTAAGTTGTAATGAGGATCAAATGAGATGATGCTGAAAATGTTAGAAAGCTTGGAGGAAGGCGGGCAGGCTTTGAACACCAAAGGATTTTCTCTTTCTGAAGTTTATTGAGTAGGGCAGTTAAGTAGATGCTCCAGCTTGTGCTTCAGGCAGATCACTTTCACAGCTGAGTGGAGGTTGAATTGAACTGGGGGAGACATGTGGCAGGGAGAACAACCAACAGGTTGTAATAGTCCAGGAGTCAGGTGATGAGAGCTTGCACCAAGGTGGGGGCAGTGTCAGAGAAAAGATGGGGCAAAGTAGAATCCACAGGATTTGTCATCAGATTATAGGATGTGGAAAGAAGTTGAGGGGGACACTAGGTTATAAGCCGAGATAGATGGCTAGGGGGATAGTACTTCCCTCAATATGAATAGGGAAATTAGGAAGAGGGGAAGGTTTGTGAGGGAAGATAATTATTACAGTCTTGGGCATGTGTGAGTGTCTATGTAACATCCGCTTACAGGTGTCCACTGGCAGTTGGAAGTGCAAGATTAAAAGTCAGTAGAGACATTAGAGCTGGGTAATTAGATTGGAGAATCATTAGCTTAGATGTGGTAATTGAATTCATGGGAGCTGACGAAATCAGCAGGTGTCTAGGGAAACTAGAACCCAGCCCCAGACAGTGCCCTGTGGGACACCCACAGTTAACAGACCTGAATGAAGACTCAATAAAGGAAGACGGAAGGAGCAATCAGATAGGCAGGATTAGAAGCTAGAAGGAGTAGTGTCACAAAAACCACAAGAGAGGAGGATAATTGGAGGCAGCTAGGTGTCACAGTGGGTAGAGCTCCAGCCTTGGAGTCATGAGGACCTGAGTTCAAATCTGCCCCCAGACACTTGAAACTTACTAGCTGTGTGACCACGGGCAAGTCACTCAACCCCAATTGCCTCACCAAAAAATAAATAAGTAAATAAAAAAGAGGAGAGGATAATATACAGTGTTAGGGGCTGCAGAGCAGTCAAGGATGAAAGTTGAAAAAAGACCATTAGATTTGGCAATTAAGAGATAATGAATAACTTTGGAGAGAGCAGTTTTGGTTGAATGATGAATGAAATTAGAAGCCAGACTCTAGAGAATTAAGACAGAACATGAGAGGAGAGGAGGTGGATGGCCTTCTCAAGGAGTGCAGCCACAGAAGGGGGGAGAGATATGGGACTCTAGTGAGGATCTTTTTGATAATGGAATTCTGTGGGGAAGCAGGCAGAAGATGAGAGAGATTGGGGATTATAGAGGGGACCATCTGCTCCGGTAAACAGAATGGAATAGGATCCCATGTACATGTGGAAGGGTTTACTTTGGCAAGGACAAGGACCGCCTCATTATGTGAGATGAGTGAATGAGGAGATGCTGACAAGGGGAGAACAGGGAGCTCTTGGCAAAGGGCCTCAGTTTTTTTCAGAGAAATATGAAGTAAGTTTCTCAGCTAAGAAGGTGGGGGGAAGAGGAGCCATGGGAGGGTTGAGGAGGGGTAGAAAGGTTTGGAAGACCCCCTGTAGTGAGTGAGATAGTAAGTTAATTAGGAAAGTATGTAAGGATTCCTTTGCCATAGTAATGACCTTGTGAAGGTTATATAGCATGCATTTGTACTGGAATTAGCCCCATTCTGCGATTTCTCCAGCTTTATTCAGCAACTCATACTTGTAAACAAAAGCAGTAGATGGTGGTAGTGATCCAAGGCTGAGGCTCAGTAGGAAAGATGGGTGATACAGTTAAGTGGTGAGGGACTCAAGAAAAGGACAAAGTGGATTTGAACTGGTGCAAGATCCAGAAACCCCCTAGGAGGTCGAAGTAATAGCACTTTTTGTAGTAACAAAAAGCTGAAAACAGAGTAGGTGTTCATTAATTAGGGAATGGCCAAACAAATTGTATTTGAGTGTAATTAAATTTGCCGTGATGTGGTATATACTATACTGGAGGAAATGACAGAAATAAGGAGTTCAAAGAAATATGTAAAGACTTACATAAGAACTAATAGAGAGTAACAAAAAAGCAGAGCCTGGAGAACAATTTGCAATTTACTGCAATAATATAAACTAAAACAACACAAAAGTATTTCTTTGTTAAATAGTTTTTTTTTTCTTTCTAGAGCCTTCTGACTTTATAAAGAGGAAAATACTTCACTTTAAAATTGCTAAAAAAGAAATTAGCATTTTAAAAATAACAGATTTAAGTATCTTTAGGTAAATTCACCTTTACAGTTGCTATGGGCAACAGTTTTCATTAGCTCTTTTTCTTTATTATAAGGGAAGTCTCTATTGTGAAGTGGCATATTGTAGAATGAGTTGTAAGAAACAAAAGGTACTAATAAAACTTTTTATACCTTGAGCTGTTTGCTAAAAGGCTTTTTATATGTCATATTTTTAATTAGCTGAACAATTCTACATTTGTGGCTCTATTACTTTCATGGGAAACCATGCAAATATTTACTTTATTAAGAATATCATAGGAGCAGCTAGGTGGCACAGTGGATAGTGCACCTGCCCTGGAGTCAGGAGGACTTGAGTTCAAATATGACTTTAGACACTGGATACTTACTAGCTGTGTGACCTGGGGCAAGTTACTTAACCCTGATTGCCTCACCAAAAAGAAAAAGAATATTAGAAATGCACATACTCTGTTATGGATAAAATAGAAGTTTCTTTAAAGTCCTTAGTAAAATGCATTATACATTTTACTTTTAGCTTAATTATTGCTTTTTGAGTTAGATTTTTTAATTATGCAAGAATATTGCATTTTTAAATGAATATTGCAAATAGTTTTTATATATGTAAACATATGTATGTATGTAAAAGAGCAGATTTGTGACTAAATACCTTTGGTTGTTGTTAAACAGAGTATTAAGAAAAAAAATACAAGCAAGCAGGAGATGAGCACATACCTGAGATTCATTGTCTCCCGAATGAAGGAGCGGGTGAGTCCTACTAGGGGATATCTCATTCCTCCCTTCTCTTCCTTCCCCTCAACCCCCTCATTTTTTTTCTTAACTTCCCTTTGAGGAAATTTATGAGTTAAGTGACAACTAGTACCATACAAAGGAGTATAAAATGTGAAAATCAGTGCTTTATTACATTGCTTCTTGCACTAAATTGTTGTTCTCAGACTTTTAGCTGTCTTTTTAGTCATTTTCATTTTTGAGTCTGTCATCTTTTATTATGTACTTTAGTTTTGAAACATGATTTGCTTTAAATTCTATGGGTATTAGTGGGTTTTTTTTAATCAGCAGTTAGTCTTTAGAACTAAGTGAGATTTTCTAGGATCATTAAAACATCTATTTTTACTGTTAAAATCAAGAATTCCGCTTATAAAACACTCAATGTAGTATGTGTACATTCTTCAGTTACATTTTAAAGATTTTTGATAAAATGTCTTCATATACCTAAAATAGTTTGAGTTATACATATTTATGATTTTCATATTTTACTTTAGCTCCCATTTTGATGTTTCTCTAACAATTCTTACAGGCTATAGATCTTAACAAAAAGGGGAAGGACAATAAGCACCCAATGTACAGAAGATTGGTACATTCAGCTGTTGATGTTCCTACAATACAAGAGGTAAGGTCACATTCCAATCCTCACCCCACCCCACCCCAATATATCTGCTCACAATGCTTTTGAAATTTAAGAGTTAGCAAGCCAGTAAGAGTTGTGGTTTTGGTGTCCATTTTATTTCTAATTGCATGCTTATCAGACACAAAACCATAAGGAGCAATTAGTATGTTATGACAGAATGAGGATCTAAAAAAAAAGATCATGATAAGCTAGAACACTGGGCCAAATCTAATAAAATGAAATTTAATAGGGACAAACATAGTTTTATATACTTAGTTGGGTTCAAAAAAAACTCACTTCACAAGAACAAGATGGGGGAATTGTGGTAAAATTGCAAGGAAACTAATGCAAAGAAAAAAACAAACATTAAAAGGTGAAAAGTGGTTGTAATCTGATTCATTAAAGGTTGAAAAAATTCATAAATAAAAGAATATTTTTGGAAGTATTAAAGACAATTTTAGAATAATGATCAAAAGTTAGTCATTTTCACTATTCATCACATATTTCAGATGTGAAGGCACATTTCATAATTTGTTCTGTTAAGGTTTTAGTGTCCTTAGATCTTTGTATAGAACTGCCTTCTTCCCCCTGTCACCTTCTCAGGAAGTTAGGAAGTAGTGGTAGATGAAATGAAACATTTTTACCAGAAAATAGACTCCCTTGCACTTTGCACATAATTGACACCTAACTGATATGTGTTGAATTGAATTTTTCTTTTGGTCTGAGATATAACCCACTGTTGTGGTCCCAGAATGTTAACGATTAATTATGCAATTTTCCACCATGACAACCCAAAGAAAATTAACCATTGTGTTTCCAGTTCAGATCAGTGTTGTTGCAAAACCTGTTCTTCATGTGTCACTTTGAAATTTTTAAATAGAACTGTTAGTCATAAAAACTTGTAGATACTATATGTAGCAGTACTAAACCCCTCAGACTCTTCTGAATCCATGAATCAGCTAGGAGATGTTAATCATTTGTAATTCAAAGAGATTTACTTCAGGAAAAGAGACTTAGGTGAATTGTGAATTTCCTTGATTTGATTTCCTCAACCTGGTCCATATTAGGGAATCAGTGCTTCTGCCTCCACACTAAATAACTTGCCTTGGCCCCTAAGAAACAAGTGTGATAGAAAAATCACAGGTTGTCAGTCAGAAGAGCTAAATTCCTATCTGCCAGTACTAATCTGTGACCTTGAGCAATTCACCTTACCTTTTTAGGCCTCAGTTTCCACATCTATAAGAATTTTATGGTAGAAAGTCCCTAACTTTCTATAATTCTATAACTTATAGATTAAGACCCTTTTGAACTATAAGGTCAGTCCAACTAGGCAGGCATAAAGTGAGTTGGTAGGATATGTGATTAATACCTATGAAATGCAATTTTATTTTCTTAAATGTTCATCCTTGTCTAATGGTATACAGACAACTTTCAGATTCTAGTTGGGAAATTAAGTGCTGTATCACCATGTACTTTGTGAACTTGTTAGAAAGACAGTTCTGTCTACTTTCATTGTGACCTGCCCTGTCCTCAGAGGGTCTCATAATGTAAATTCAGAATATAGAGATATTGTCTTATAATTTTTTTATATTTTGCCTTTGTATTCTGCAGAAAGTGAATGAAGGAAAGTACAGAAGTTATGAAGAATTCAAAGCTGATGCTCAGCTTCTTCTTCACAACACAGTGATTTTCTATGGAGGTTGAGTCGTTTTGTTTTTTCTTTTAAATCATTTGACTTCCAGTAGAGGGAAGTATTTAATTTTAAAACCACTGTAGAAATAAGCATTAATGGTTTAGTTACAACCTTAAATATACAGCCTTAAGTAGGTGTATGAAAGTGCCAAAGTTAGGGTATATATTAGTGGACTATTTAATTGTAACACTAATAAAATTAAAGGCAGAAGAAATAACTTACAAATTGACTATAGTCACATAATGCAATAGAAAGATCACTAGAATTGTAGCCAAAAGGCACGCATTTAAATGTCGTCTCTGTTACATCTAGTAGTATGTAACCTTGAGCATTTATGAACCTGAGTTTCTGCATCTCTGAAATAAGGATAGAAATACTTTCATTTTCTACTTCCCAAGGTTGTTGTAAAGATAAATCAGGTAAAGTGAGGGGAGGGGGAGGATATTGGGCATATGAACTTTATAATTATAAAATGCTATATATATATGTATATTAAAATATGGCAGATAATAAACATATTATGATTGCTTCTGTAGTTGGTTTGTTTGTTGGGTTTTTTTTAAATACAGATGTCTTAGTCAATCAAAAGTTTGAAAAAAATCCCTAAACTACATATGTATAGGCAGGAAGGTACTCTGTACCTCGACAATTGACACATCTGGCTTTGTAAAATATTCTTGTTCATTTTGATCTTTTAGTAGAAATTGTCTTAAAGAATACATTAGGTTTAAAATAGCACAGTTGCTTATGTTTTCTTAAGTTTTGAAAAGCATGGTATGAAATACCCTAAATCAAATGTTTTAATTTGGCTTAGCTCGTGTTGTTAGATTGTTGGTAATGGGTAATGTCTGTCTTTAATTACAGCGGACAGTGAACAAGCTGACATAGCCAGGATGCTTTATAAAGATACATGCCATGAGGTAATTTTAAAGCCCAGTCACTAAACATTTATGGATTATATCATGCTAGTTGATAAGCATACTGGGATTTTTTTCCTCTTACAAGCTACAAATAATATAAGATAGTTATTATGATATTTCTGTATTATACTTAATCACAGTAGTATTCTTGCTGCCCAGCATTACCTTTATAAAGGTGGTTTGAAGTATGTTATTGCTTTTACTTGTGGTATTTTGATTATTGATTTTTATAGAAAATACTACTAATTAGTTCTAGGAAATAAAATATCAGGAGTAGAGTTTTTCATTTCCATGTCTTTATAGAAATACAATAGAAATGGTCATAATCATTTAATTTATTCAGTCTTCAAGTTCATTTCTATCTTTGTGAAAATAAAAAATGTCACAAAGTTGACATCATTTTGTCATTAATAACATCTGTGACATCAACTATCTTTCTATAATCAAATTATTAAACTTTTTTCAAATACTTTTTTAATTATATCATTTCCTTTCTGTGCTTATCTATATGTTAAATCATGAGAATATCTGCAAAAAGCAAGTGTTTTTTCAATTCTATTATGTTATTTTATCAAAAGTAGTTTCATTTCCATGCTCAACCACACATTTTTTATTAATAAATCCACTAAGAAAAATTAGGAGTTGGAGACTAGACATGAAGCAGTTCATATTATCCCTCGAGATCATCTGTGAGCTAAAGGGAACTCTGACAGATTCCACCCTTGAGTCTGGACCAAGCTCCTCTGGGTGTGTTTGTGTCTTCTGACAGTCCTCTGGCATAAGGAAGTCCCTCCTGGGAGGACAGAGGTTGCCCTTTTGACCGTTGCTTTTGAGCACTGGGCACTCAGTGCCCAAACCCCCACCAAAGGTGTGACTGTCAAAAAAGAAAGTACCTGTCCCACAACCAAGTTTATATCTAAGGAAAGGCCTGTGGGACAGCCAGAAACATCAGGGAAAACAGACCCCTTAATGAATTCAGATGCCATGAGTAATATGTCATAACAATAAGGGCCAGTTTCATGCTTAGTTTTTATTCGTATTTCATAATTAATAAGGAAGAGTGGGAGAGAGGGTGGGAAGGGGAGACATATACATATTAACATAGAATAACACTTATGCAAAGGTGGCACTGTATTGGGGAGCACAGAGGCACAGGACCATTCAAGTGCTCCATTCAGGTGGGAAGGCTTGGTCCCAAAGGAGCAGCATGCTCCTGGGGAGGAAAACTATGCTTCCAGGGAAGGGACATCTACACCGGTGGAGGGGAGAGGTACTCCAAAGTACCCTTCGGAGAGTGGGATACCAGCCCTCATTGTTATGACTTATTATTCTGAACTCATTAAGGGGTTTGTTTTCCCTCAGCTTCTCTGAATGGCCCACAGGGACTTTCTTTAGACATAAATCTGGTCCCGGGACAGGGACTTTGCCTTTTGACAGTCACACCTCTAGGGGGGGCTTGGGCACTGTGAGCCCAGTCTTCAAAAGCAAGAGACAAAAGGGGAACCTCTGTCCCCCTAGGAGGGACTCCCCCTTATGCCAGAGGGCTGTTATGGGACACTTTATTAATATTAAATCCCTTTGCCCTGCTATCTGCTTGAGAAAGAGAGTTCCCCAAGAATCCCTGCGAAGATTGTTTGGGTCAGCTACACAAAGACAAAAATTAAAACCAAGAAAACCTGCACAAATTTACCCAGGGGCAACTTTCAAAAAACAATTATTAAAAAAGCAGATATTTAAATGATATTTCTTATGACCCACATTAGTATTTTGATTTTAAGATTTTATCACTCACAAATAGATACTTTTGCCCTGGCAAGTGGTATTTTTTGGATGCTTTTCTGTCATTTCGTAGATGTGACCTAAAAGGTAGCATTTTCTTTTAAATAAAAGAGTATGGAATTTTAAAATTTTCACTCAAAAATTTAACTTTACTACTACTTCTAATATTATAATTATTTTTTTCTCTTTCCAGTAATAAACTTAAGCAAGTTTGTAGAAGGCTAAATCTTGTAAATATTAAGTTGTTTATAGAAATCTTAGTTCTCTTTGAGTCCTTATTGATGTGCATGCATGTTTTTACACCAGACAACTAAATATTCTTTAGTTGAATTTTTTGTTTTTATTTTTCAGCTGGATGAACTGCAACTTTGCAAGAATTGCTTCTATTTGTCAAATGCACGTCCTGACAACTGGTTCTGCTATCCTTGTGTATGTTTGTGAAATTTTGAAATTTGCTTATTTTCCTTTTTTTTTTTTTTTGCAACTACCAAAGTTTCACCTCTTAAATGTTAGATTGTTTTAAATACATTTCCAATATATCCAATTTTTGCTATTGCAAAAAATGCCTTTATAATAAATATATGTGCATGTATTTTTACACTGAGTACCAAATTTTCCTGAAGTTGATTCTTTTTAATTATCTTGTAAATACATAATGTCAAAGCTATGGTTTCATGCATTAAATGTGTTCAAGTAGGAAGCCATCAGCAATATAATTTTAATCATAATCACTCAAATCAAAATGAGAGTTAAAGTGTCATTTAGTGTTGGAAACTCAGAGGCTTTCTCTATATCTATTATTTTGAAATATTTCAAGCTTGATTTTTTCCCCCTCTTTAGTTTAGTTGGTTTTTATGGCTTATAATTTGGCCACAGCATTCTAAGTGCTCTAAAAGGGTAATTACCTCACTGAATCTAGGGAGGAGGGAGAAAAAACAAGCTAAGTGAACCTGTCTAATCCCAGGCTTGCCACCCCAAAAGTTTCTGCCCCAACAAGAGTATGAAAAGAATCCATGATTATGCCTGTCTCACAGTCCCTTGCAGGCACATTACCCAGCTTTCTGAACAGATAGAGAGCTTTGTTCATCAGTGAGAATGATAGCACCTACCTCTCAGAATTGATGAAAAGATCAGATGAGATAATCTATGTACAGTTCTTCACAAACCTTCAAACACTATATAAATGCTAGCTACAATTAAAGTGATCAAAGTAACCAAATGATCCAAAAATCGTAACTTAAACAGTTTGTTAAATCTTTGACAATAAGTTCTGTAGTCCTTAAGAGAGAAGATCTTAAGAGCTGGGCATTCTTTTGTTGTCAATGCGCAGTAGCATTCATGGCTTTAAATGGAATAGACTGAGTTGTTCCATAATATAGCTGGTAATCCAGAGAAGATTGTTTTCAGGCATATAGGAAATGGAAGGGAAGCTATATTACTACCTTTTCCTCAGCAATGTCACATTAGTAGAGGAAAGAATATTATCTACTGTGTAAAAACATTCCATATCACACAAGCATAAAAAATTTAAGTTGAAAAGTAGAAAATTATAGCTTTGATTTTAAGTGACTAACATAATAGCTTACCTTATAGTTTAAATACTGATACTATTTTTTTTTAAATTATAAAGGGAAATGTGTTTTATTTTTAGATACCTAATCATGAGCTGGTTTGGGCCAAAATGAAGGGTTTTGGGTTTTGGCCAGCCAAAGTCATGCAGAAAGAGGACAATCAAGTTGATGTTCGCTTCTTTGGTCACCATCACCAAAGGTAATTTGTGAATCTCTTATGCAAGTTGTGATAACCTGCCTTGCCTTTAAATAAATTGTCTTTTAAGAAGGTTTTAAAGATATCATTACCTTTTATTAGTCTCAAATTTCCTAATGTATACATGTTTTCTAGACTGTTTCAAAATATAGCTAAATATTATTCAGTCATAGAAGACTTGAGGTAAGGGCCTGTCTTGAGTAATTATAAAGTTTGATTTACATTGAATAAAAATAAATGAAGCACTTACGGCCCATTCTTAAACTTTAATGATTACCAACATTAGAAAAAAATTTGCCATAGGTTGCATAATCATCTGATAAATATATTTAATATGTTTAAATCAGTCATAAAGCCTGAACCAAATACTCACTGAGCAAATAAAATAATGTATCATTTCCTTGTTTATTAAATTCAGGACATTTGTGATAACCAATACTGTTTAATAATGCAGCAGTAGTGTATTAGCCTTGAATATTGGTTAAACCAAGACAGTAGGATAGAAAGGTTTAGAGTACATGTGGATTTAGTAGTATTATAACATGATTACAGTAGTCTCAGCCTTTCTAACAAAGTCCTAATAAAATTCAGGGATCTTAAGATTAGGCAAATTATCACCTTTCAGGTGGAAGTACAGTTAGACTAGGTGCATAAAAATATATGTACTCTTTTTAATGTGCATAAGAATTGTATGCCTATAACAGTAATAAGGCGTAATTTCTAGCTTAGGAAACTTTTCTTTTTCTTTGTTGTTTGCAAGCGGAGTTCAACTTCCACATTATATTTTTCAGAGTACAGATTTAGATGTTTATCAATGGCAGAAATAAATCTTGTTTTTGTTTCCATAAAATTATTTTGAATAATTTTACTTCCATAAAATGGATTGAACACGTTATGACACATACATCTATAGCATATCTGCCAACCACATTGACATTACGAAAATTTTAGTTAACACTTAATTTTTTTTTGTGAGGTAATTAGGGTTAAGTGACTTGCCCAGGGTCACACAGCTAGCAAGTGCCAAATGTCTCAGACAGGATTTGAACTCATAACACTTAAATTTTTAGTTTTTTTGGGGGGGGGGTGAGGCAGTTTGGGTTAAGTGACTTGCCCAGGGTCACACAGCTAGTAAGTGTCAGGTGTTCTGGTCTGAGACCAGATTTGAACTCAGGTACTCCTGACTCTAGGGCTGGTACTCTATTCACTGTGCCACCTAGCTGCCCCTAAGTTTCTTCATAATAATGCCATTAATAAATTTTCTAGAAAATGGGAATTCATTCATGTAACAAACATTTATTGTGTACTTAACAAGGCTCTAGGGCAAATATATAAGCATTTATTAAGTACCTACTATGTGTTAATCACTGTGTTAGGTGCTGGGGCTACAAAGACAAAAAAGAAATAGTCCCTGACCTGAAGGAGCTTATATTCTATCAAGAGATACAAGAAAGCCTCCCATGGATTTAAATATCATCTCCAAGCATATGACTTGGAAATATACATATCTAGCCCTGGCTTCTCCCCTGAGCTTCAGTCCAATATCACCAGTTGACTATTGGATATTTCAAACTGGATGTCCCAGAGACATTTCAAATTCAGCATGTCTAAAACTAAATTTACTATCTCTTGAGGCAGCTAGGTGGCACAGAGGATAAAGCTTTGGACTTGGAATTAGGATGACCTGAGTTCAAATCCAGCCTCAGACGTGTACTGGCTGTGTAACTCTAGGCAAGTCACCTAACCGCTGTCTACCTAAGTTTCCTCATCTGTCACATAGGGACAATAATACACCTACCTTGCAGGGTTGTTGTGAGGATCAAATGAGATAATATTTGTAAAGTGACTGGCACTGTGCTTTCTTATAAGTGTTTTATAAATGCAGCTAGGTGGCTCAGTAGAAAGAGTAATGTGCCTAAAGTTAGGAAGACTCCTCTTCTTAAGTTCAAATCTGGCCTCAGACACTCCCTGGGTATGTGACCCTGGGCAAATCACTTAACCTTCTTTGCCTCAGTTTCCTCATCTGGAAAATTAGCTGGAAAAGGAAATGAAATCTTTACCAAGAAAACCCAAAGTGGGGTCATTAAGAGTTGGACACAACTGAAATGACTGAACAGCAACAACATTTCCTTGCTTTCCCTTTCCTTTCCCTTTTCACAAAAACTCTTTCTTTGAAACTTTCGTATTTCTGTTGAATGAACCATCATCCTTCCAGTCTCTTATGTTTGTAACTTCAGCACTATCCCAGGCCCCTAACTGACCTCTTAGCCAGTCAGTTGGTAAATTGTGCCATTTTTTCTCTTACAACATGTTTTGCATCTGACCCCTTCTCTCCACTCACATGCCACTACTATAGTTCAGGCCCTTGTTACCTCTCACCTCTTAACTGGTTTCCTTGCCTCAGGTCTCTGATTATCTGATTTCCCTACTCAGTAATAAAGTCAAGTGAAAGTTTTGTGAGGATGGTGGAAAACTGAACATATTTATAGATAGCAGGTAATGAACCAGTAAATAAGGAGAGATTAAAGAGTAGCAGAAGAGGATAAATGTAGGGAACAATATTCCAGAGAATATGGCAAGATGGGATTAATGGTAAAGAGGTTGAACAAAGAAGTAGCCTCAGTTTTAGAGGTTTGCATATTTTCACAACATTCCTAGAACTCCAGATGTGCAGCACCCAAAGATTTTGATCCATATGATTTGTGGAGGTTTGGGACACAAGATGTACTCAGATAAATAATTATAATACAAAGTTGAATGAAGTAAATTTTATAAGAGAAGTAAAAACAATGCCATAGGAGTTCAGGTGAAAGAGGGTTTGCTTCCATCTGACTTAATTAAGGAAAGCTTGCTTCATAGAAGAGTTTCTGTTTGAACAAAGCCTTATAGGTAAATAGTAGTTGGCTGGCATTATCATTCACAAGGTCACAATAATTAGTCATACTAAACTTTTCAAGAAGAAGAAGGGAATTTACGTGAGATTATTCAGTTCACTTAACATAAATCATTTTATCCACTTGAATATCAACAGCAATTATTTTTAAAAATTGTAAAATAAGAATAATAGTTAGCATTTTAATGTTTACAAAGTGCTGTACGTATTATTTTATCCTCATAATAGCCCCATGAGGTAGGTTCTGTTATTATCTCATTTTACATATAAGGCAATTGAGGCTGAGAGACGGGGAGTGATTTGCCCAGGGTCACACAACTGAGAAGTGTCTTAGGCAGAATTTGAGCTTAAGTCTCCTTGGCTCCAAGTCCAGTACCCTTACCCATTGCAGCAATTAAAGTTTTTAAAAGTCACAACTTAGTTTCTTAAATCTCCAAAAATCAGTCCTGAAGCCCTTTAAGGTAGGTAACAGGTACTCTGTCACAATGGTAACAAGATAAAACTCCATAAATCGTAGTTACTAATGTTAAACAAAAGATGGAGAACATGGTAGGTCTTTTAAGTACCATGCTAACATGTGCAACTACTTCATTAAATTTTTACTGAATATGAATAACATACATATCTATCATCATGGTTGTTAATACCTATTGAAACTATAATGCTATACATTTCTAGAATTTCATATGAAAGTGTAATAGGCTTTATTGAAACAATTCAGTTCAATAAAAATCTTTGTTATTTTTTAGGAAGAAGATTCTATAATTTGACATAATAGTTTAATTTTCCTGTTTTCCACTTGGACAGATATGTTTAATAAACTGATTTGAAAGGAGTAAAAGATATTTTAAGTTTAAAAATCTCTCAGAATTACTTTTTCATTTTCAGTCTGTCTAAGGTTGTTAGCACATCTGTTAGGTATCTTGTACATAGTAGGTGCTTAAGAAAACAAGGTCCTGATTAATACAAATAATGAATCCTTTGAAGTGGTCTCATCTATTTGAATTTGCACTATTAACCCAATGAAAATATGCAGTGCAAATTTGAATAATTCGACTACTTCACAGGATTCCCTATTCACACTAATTGGGACCTGGCAGTAAATGTTTGCTGAGTGGAAACTAAGAACTCAAAAGAGGGTAAGAGTAGACTGTAAAATGTCCTTAATTTAGGAACAGATTTATTCAGTATTTTGAGGTTTACAGGTCTGTTTTTTCATAAAAATCTGGTGTTATTCAGTTATTTTACAGATAAGAAAATTTAAGTGTCTTTTAAGTAACTTATCCAGGTAAAATATTAAGTGGTAGAGTTGGAATTCAAACCCAGATTTTTTTATTTTAGGACTCTTCATCTTGGAGTATCATACTGCCTTCAAATCAGTTGTGGGAACAGAGCTTTTTAAAGTTAGTATCATACTTCAAATGATTCATTATTTGTACTAATCAGGACCTCGTTTTCTTAAGCACCTATGTGCAAGATACTGGACAGATGTGTTTACAACCTTAGATGGATCGAAAATGAAAAAGTGATTGAGAGATTTTTGAACTTAAAATATCTCTCTGCTTGTTAAGGAGGAAGATAATGATTTCCTTGTGACTGAGGTGGAGAATGGTGTTACTTTGGGCAGCAAGAAGGATGTAACTGCAGGAGAGTCTACAAGATCTCCAGTTTTTAATAGAACAAGACATGTGGGTGTTTGCCTCTTTTGTCGTTTAGTATCTTTCTTCCTAAAGGCAGCTGATGTCTATGCAGTCAGAAAGGTCCTGGGAGAAATGGGCAGGAACATCAATATCATCAGTAGGACTGGGGACCATCTGAAGATCTGATGAGCTTCTAGAGACTCCTAATGGCTTCATAGTGGCTTGGGTGGGGGCAGGGGGATTAGGTATTGAAGTCCTTGCAGAAAAGTTCTCGAAGATGAAGAAGGAAGGGATATTCAAATTGTGATAGCTGTTATTTGTGCCCCTCAGATGCTAGAGGGCGTGATTAAGAAACCAGGTACCCTAAAGGCTTCCTTCAAGTGTTGTATTAGGGTCATGATTGTCCTTACCAAGTCTGGAAGTTCTGTTCACCAGGGCGATAGGTGCCATTCTTGGACCCCCCATCATCACTGTTACTTATAGTTATTAGGGCGCATGCCAGGCTCATCTCTACCAAGGCATCTTTCCTGTGATGTGTAGGGAGTTCAGTCATAATTCAACTGAAGATATGAACTTCAAGGTTAACTTTGAGAATGGAAGTTAGCAAAACTCTTGGCTTCTTTGGCAAAAGTCATGTGACCATTTTACTGTTGGGTTGGCATCCAAGTCCACACTTCAGCAACACTATAGGTTACTGCCAATTCCATAAAAGGACACATAAAAGAAACCTTCTCATAACTCTAGCACCTTCCCTTCCCTCCCGCAGCAGGCAGCCATTATACCAGCAAATGTCCATGGTGTTGTTCATTTATCATTGTTGGTGACTTTATACTGCAAAAACACCAGAAAGAAAGATTAAGGTCCCTTTTTTTCTTTTTTTTAAATTCATTTTGATTTATCAACAATCACTTCCATAAGTTCTTGAGTTCGGAATTTTTCCTCCACTCCCTCCCCCCTTCTCTCCCCAAGATGGCACGCAGTCTGACATAAGCTGCACATATACATTCCTACTAAACATATTTTCACACTAGTGATGTTGTAAGGAAGAATTAGAACCGATAGGAGGAACCACCAGAAAGAGGAAACAAAACATTACAGAAGAAAAAAAAAACAAATAGTATTCCTCAATCTGCATTCAATCTTAAAGTCCCTTTTTAAAGGGGGAAAAAGTGATCCAAAATATTACAGATAGGTCTAGTTTGTCTTAACTCTGCTTTGTTTCATATAGCAGAATACCTCACACGTGATACTTTCAGCTGTGTTACATAGCCAATTCCATCACTGATAAACTGTATAAATATCTTTTTGTTCCTTAAAAATAGTTTCTCTGGTATTAATAATAATAGTCCAGCTCTAGCTAATATGTAATAGTTGTGCCTACATTTTCTTTTCTTTTTCCAACTGCAATTTTTATTTGACAAGTAAATATACAGAGGGAAAATGCCATGAAGTGGTGTCACGGATTTTTAGTCAAAATGGAGAAAGTGGGTATTGAAAAATTTCTTTCTATATTTTTCTCATGGAAATTATGTCAATACTTCATTGGATCTATGATCTTATTGATGTTAGAACTTCTTCCAGTGGAGTTTTTCCATGCTTCCTGTGAATGCTTGTGCTAAGATTCTTACCCAATATGCTGAGAATCTCTCTTCACGGCTCCTATATTTCATGGGTCAGAGCACACAGGGCCTCGTTCTCGTTTTTTGACTGCCCCACGTTTTTCAGTCTTATTACTTCTCTGATAACATCCTCTGTGCCACTCTTTCTACACAACCTTTCATTGGTGATATATGTTGTTTTTTTTAATAATATCATATTTTTCCTCAATTACATGTAAAAACAATTTTTAACTTTTTTTAAATTTTGAGTTCCAAAATTTCTCCCTCCTCCTCTCACCTCTCCCCTCCCTGAAATAGTAAGAGGTTTGATATAGGTTACAAATATGCAATCATATAAAATATTTCCATATTAGTCATGTTGTGAAAGAAGACACACACCCAAAGAAAAAACAAAACTACAGAAAAAGAAAGTGAAAAATAGTATGCTTTCAATGTGCATTCAGACTCCATCAGTTCTTTCTCTGGATGTGGATAGCATTTTTCATCATTGGTCTTTCAGAATTGTCTTGGATCATTATATTGCTCAGAATAGCTAAGTCATTCACAGTTGATCATTGTTCAGTATTGCTATTACTGTATACAATGTTCTCCTGGTTCTTGCTTACTTCAGTTTGCATCAGTTCATGTAAGTCTTCCCAGGTTTTTCTGAAATCAGCCTGCTCATCATTTTTATAGCACAGAAGTATTCCATTATGGTCATATATCACAACTTGTTTAGCCATTCCCCAATTGATGGGCATCCACATCAGTGGTAGGGCTTCATGATTTGAAGCCAGGCAGCATTGCTAGAATGGTTTTGTTTTTGTTTTTTTGGACCAGACCAGTGATTTCATTGTTATATGGAATTCTTAGAGAGGAAACTCCTTCGATGAATGTAGATTATCACCTGTTCCACTACCACAATCTAAGAGAGTTTCCTGGAGCACTGAGGTTAAATGACTTGTTCCAGCTCGCATAGCCATTGGACTTGAACGCTGGTCTTCCTGACTCTTCAGACATTTTCCTACCCATTATGCTAAACTGCTTCTTTTCTTTTGAAAAACATTGATATTCCAAAGATGGGTTTTTGTTCCTGGGAGAAGTTTGGGGTAGTTAAAAGGGCTGGGCAAACTTCACAAGGGCCCCTTAGCTTGTTCTCCTCCTGTTCCTTTCTGGACACAGATCTTTGACATCTGCAGACGAAGATCTACTCTTCGACATTTGTCTAAGACGTAGGTGATGATGGACCAGTTTTATTAAAAGCTCTCTATCCAGTTGCATATCCTAGTCTTTGTAATAGGCATTCTATTTGACTTTTGCTGTGCGTAGAATTGAGCCGAACCCTTGAGTGATTATCAGTCTCATTTAGGAAGCTCTGCAGTTTTCTTGGGTTTAGTGAAATCAGCACAATCTCATCTACAAAAAGGAGCATTTAGTAGAGCTCACAGTCTCTAAGGAATCATTTTCCATTTGGACTTTGAGCCAGATATCCCTGTAACAGTGACGAACACCTTTGACAAGCGTATATCTCCACTTTTCCATGTCTCAGTTGTTATTAATAATCAGAAGTTTGTAAAACCAAAGTTATTTCTGTTACAATATCTTTCAAGGAATATTATTTGATTTTGATTTTTACTGAAGAGACTTCTTATTGGGGGAGACCCATTAAGGTTGCCTGTTTTGCTACAACAAATCAATTTTTTTTTTTAAATAATCAAACAGTAAGTCCAGTAGGATCTTATATTCACTATCCTTTCAGTCAGTTATGTGACTGTAAAGATTCGATCTGCTATAGAATATCATTTGTGAAAGTCTCAAACCTTCATCTAAGATGGTCTTGATGCATGTGCAGATTATTCTCATAAAATTCAATAGAGGTGCAAAAGTTGGCATATGGGTCAGTAGTTGTGAATATTTTCTCAGTCACCTGTTTTTTTTGGTAATAAAATCCATATAGAAGTTTGTGATACTTAATGTCTGTTGTAGTGCCTATATCTAGAACTATCCCAATGTATAGTCATTTACAGTATTCATAATTAATGATATAATGGTAAATAATTGTGATGGAATGCTATTATGCTGTAAGAAATGATAAGCTCAATGACCTTAGAAAAATATGGATAGACTTGCACAAAATAATGAAGAGCAAAATGAGCAGAACCAAAAGAATGTAGTATACAGTAAAAGTAATATTGTTTTGAGAACAACTTTGAGTGAATAAGTCATTTTGACTATTGTAAATACCCAAACTAAATACAAAGGATATATGAAGGAAAATGCTATCTGCATCCAGAGAAAGAACTGATAAATAGAAGTATGTATAGAATGATTATACATACATACACACATACATACATACATACATATATATATGTATATATATATTTGTATCTAATAGTCATCTCTGGGGGGAGAAAAAAATTTACATGATAACCTTTATATATTATATTATTATATGTAATATATCCTATATTTTATATACATTATATATTTTAAAGAAATAGCAAGTTGTGCATAATATATTTGCAGTTTCATGTGCAATTATCTTTTTTATTATACTATGTTATGAAAATGTTTGTTCTATTCCATAAATCAAAAATAAAATAAATAATTTTTTAGAAATCAGTGAATCAAGACATTTTGAAAACTAATTGATAATACTGAATGTGTTAGATTACTTCGAGATTTAAGTTGACCATATTCAACAGAATATTAAAATATTAGAAGGAATTTGTACAAATTTAGGCTTTGAGAACTTTGAAAAGCAGAATCAGCTTTTTTTTCCGCCTTCTATTATGTTTAACTGACAGTGAATTGATGGTCCCATTAATTGTGAACTTCCCTTACTAGTTTTCCAAATTTGGGCGAGACTCACCAAGTTTTTCACAAATATGGGTGACTATCTCTAAATGGGCTACAATACAGACTTTTTTTATCCCTCATGTTCCCCTATCCCCAACCGCATTCGCTACATACATATCCTTACCCTTTGGGAATTTCTAATTTTGGCTTCATATTCTTTTTACAGGGCCTGGATTCCTTCTGAAAATATACAAGATATCACAGTTAACATCCATCGGTTGCATGTGAAACGCAGTATGGGCTGGAAAAAAGCATGTGATGAGCTGGAACTGCATCAACGCTTCCTGCGTGAAGGAAGATTTTGGAAGTCTAAGAATGAGGATCGAGGTGAAGAAGAAGCAGAGTCCAGCATCTCCTCTACCAGTAATGAACAGGTAAGTCCTACTCTCATCAGAAACTACAAGTCATTGTTAAACGTGAAAATACTTGAATGTATACTCTGCCTCATCAGGAACAGAACCTGGGTCATATTTTTCCATTTCTTAACCATGTTGTAAATTGCTCTGCAAAAATAAGCAGTAGCACACATTGTTCTTGTCTCCTCCTCACCCCCCAAACCAAAGAGCCTTAAAGGGTGATCCTCCCAGGGAAGAGGAAGTAAATTACTCACTTTGTGATATGCATTATTTTTTCAGATCTTTCAGTTGTAAAGCACGTAGTGCTTCAAGACAGGTATTTTACTAATCAGTGCCACATGTCCCAAGAATACTAAGTCAGAAGCAAACAGTTTATTCCTTTCTCACCTCTAGGTCAGTATTTACAGCCACGATGAAGTACTTCACAGTATTGAAATAATACCTATAATTTTTATGTGTTCACAGCTGAAGGTCACTCAGGAACCAAGAGCAAAGAAAGGGCGACGTAATCAAAGTGTGGAACCCAAAAAAGAAGTAAGTTACCCAGACCTCCTAGTGTCCAAGTGGCAGTTGATCCAGAAAAAACTTTTCGAAGTTATGGACAAAATGGTTCCTCCTGTGGATATTTGTGTAAAGCAATTGTCATCATTGAATTAGTTACGTCTATCAAGTGTGAATGTTGTCTTATCCCCTTTCACATCTTACACCATTGTTAGGAATAAAAGAGGGTGATATCACAGGTGAAAGTTTCCACTTGATTAAAGCATAACTAACTCCTGTGATTAAGGGGGAAAGGGCACTTTCTTTACCATTTAACTTTACTTGGAAACTCTCTTTGTTTTACTATTCCTAAGACAAATAATGAAACTAATATGGATCAAGCTGACATTTTAAAAGCTCTTACTTTTTCAAAATGATAATCTTTTCATGATGAAATTCATGTGTTATTTAATGCAAGCTCTAGACCTGAGCATATAGTCCAGGTACATATTCAGTGAGAAGTGGTTGGGAATTTTAGCAAATTAACTAATAAATCTGGTCAAAACAAGTGATTTTTTTAAAAAATCAGTTATTAGTATGTAGAATAATTTTATATTTAAATATTTCAGCTTACTGGTATTCAGTTTTAAATCATATGACCCTAGAAACCCAGCAATCAAGTTCCCTTTTAGAGTAACTGATTCTTTAATTGTGCTAATTATGACAGTTGTTTGTTACATGACTATTTATATTTATTACTAAACTTATATGTTAACATAGTTCATTCTTTATTCTTGTGTCTGAGGTGTGTTGCCTTATTGTCACTGTAGATAATGTCTAGTTTTTTTGTTCCTCCTCCAGGAACCAGAGCCTGAAACTGAAGCTGTAAGTTCTAGCCAGGAAATTCCCACAATGCCTCAGCCAATAGAAAAGGTTTCGGTCTCAACTCAGACCAAGAAGTTAAGTGCCTCTTCTCCAAGAATGCTGCATCGGAGCACACAGACCACTAATGATGGAGTGTGTCAAAACATGTGCCATGACAAATACACCAAAATCTTTAATGATTTCAAAGACCGAATGAAATCTGACCACAAACGAGAAACTGAAAGGGTTGTACGAGAAGCACTGGAGAAGGTAATCCTGTCTTTCACGTCCGATTGGTACCGTTTGTTTTCAGAAAATGTTGCTGAGCAGATGAACACCATTTCCTGTGGTGGTTGAACTACTTGTATATACTCACCATCTGGGCCACAGATTCACAGTTATGCATATCACCTACTTAGGACTTTTTGTACTAGACTTCCTAATAATTTTATACTCCTGATTTCTTATTACATGTTCATGAAATCAAGAAGATGGCATTATATGAGTAACAGTGTATGGATTCTGTTTGCCGAGTTGTGTAACCAGTGTCGATGTTAACTGACATGTTTGGGGCTTGATTTTTTTCCTATTAGCTGCGTACTGAAATGGAGGAAGAAAAAAGGCAAGCTGTAAATAAAGCTGTGGCCAATATGCAGAGTGAGATGGACAGGAAATGTAAACAGGTAAAAGAAAAGTGTAAAGAAGAATTTGTAGAAGAGATTAAGAAGCTAGCAACACAGCACAAGCAACTGATTTCACAGACCAAGAAGAAGCAATGGGTAAATATTCATTATAATATTTTTCATCTTTTTATTGAAAATCTACCTATCATACCTAATATTGGCTAAAAATAACTCTGCTGTGGTGCATTTGGGAATTGCAGTGCTGAATTGATCAGTTTCATTTTTTCTACAAACTTCCTTTTGTCAATTATTTGTTTAAAAATCAGTTTAATTATTTTACAATTGCACTTTTTACAGTCTCTCACTCCACCACTTAGTATCCAGTTACGTACTGTGTTTGTTAGTGTCTCCTGGTTTTACATTGATTCGTTTTATCTCACTAGCTAAATGCTAAGCTCTTCAATGACAATAACGATATCATAGGCTTCTCCTATATCCCTTACTGTGTTGAATATAGAGTAGACTCTCAGTAATTATTTATTGAGTGAGAAAACACAGTTTGCCTGCAACTTCCAAATTTTTATTGCCTTAAGTTTACTTCATTTCTTGAAGTTTTGTTGCCACTTTCTTTAATTCATCTTGCTCACTTTCAGCTTCTGTAATCTAAGGGGAATATTTTAAAACATTTCATAAAATCTTTATGAAAAGTGAATATTGAAAATTAGTTTAAAGGAAAGATTTGACAAGCAGATAAAGGAAGCCTACCAAGACACAGCTGTGAAGACAGGTTAGTGAAAAACCTGAAGGGGTGGGGGATGAGCAAAAAGAGCAAGATGGGGTCTAGGAAAGCAGGCAGGATGCTTGGAAGCTGTGCTGTCATAACAGTTCTGACTTCTTGCAGGGATGGGGGTAAGAGAAAATGGACCCAGTAATCTTAAATGATGATGACATTCAACAGGCTAATCAGAAGAAGGAGATCCCCAACAGTAACTGAAGAATCAGGGAAAAGGAAGGCTTGAAAAGAAAGAAAGAAGACTGGTGTTCTTCACTGTCTGGTAGTAAGATATCCAGGAAAGATGCTAGACAAATATTAAAGGAAAGAACTTGAATAGATGCATGTCAGGTACCTAGACATAATTCCTGAAATAAGTACTACCAATGAAGTATAGTGAGACACCCTTTAAGAAGAGAGATAAGGTAGGTGAGATACTCTCTGTAGGATTCTCTCTGAGACACAGAAAGATATCAGGGGAGAAAAGAGCTCAAGAACCTCCAAGTATAGTTATGAGAGAAATAATGGCTTTCCTAAGGTTGGAACTGCTGACACTAGAGTATGATCTCTTAGATTTAATAAACGGAAGGTCACTGGAAAATTTCAAAAGAACAACTTTATTGAAAGAAAAAACTAACCAAAATCAAGATAAAACCTAGAAAATTGAGCTTGTAAGTAGCCAAATATAATCAGCAGGTCCAAGAACTTACGAAGTATACTGGAACCTTACTCTAATGATATGCTTGGAGTCTGTGTTGTGTGGCTGGCTTCTTTATAAATGTTTTAACATCTAAAAGTTCAATTCTCTTGAGATCTTATGTTGGCCTGAATTCATGTTATAACGAGTGACACTATAGTGAGGCTCTGATATATTTGGAAGGATAGAATTTGGATGAGTTCTTTATTTAATCTACAGAAATGATACATGTGGTTACCAAATACCACTATATTCTAAGAAACACTCAATTGGAGGATGTGCGTATGAAATAAGAACTGAATCATCAGGCTTTTTTGACATAGGTAAATAGGTGGAATGTATAAGCAGGTTCATAGTAAGTTGGAGAAATATAAATTGTTTCATTAAAACAGTATGTACTAAGTGAATCACATTGGAAGCAGTATTTATGTTAAGGCTTACAAGCCAAAATTAGTCTATTTGCTAATGGTCCAGGCAAACTGGCCCATTGGCAAATAGGAACTGGTCCTGACAGAAAGAAAAAACCTAACCTTTTCAGATTTAAAAAATGAATTCAAAAATGATTAAGTTATTAGTATGATACTTTTAAGTCAACAAGAGTTTGTTGTTTTTTTTTTAATTGAATGAATTTGTTATTTAGAAACATTTTAGGGTTTTTTTAAAAAAGTTCATTAGGATGTTGTTGTTTTGACCTTGGTAAAAGTATTAGTTTTTTAAATAAACCTCAGTTTTTAAAGCCTTAAACTTTTCTCTATGCTTGGGCAGTTGTCATTCACTGCTGCATTTATTTCTCCATGTATGCCTTAGCATTTCTTAATACTGTTCTTTTTCCTTTCACTTAAATAAAGAAAAAAGAAATACACCAGGTCAGATTTTGGCATTTCAGTTAGGTGTGTCATACAGTTTACTGTCTACGTGAAGAGATTATAGCCAAGGCCTAAAGGAGCTACTTAATGAAGAAAACTACAGGGATTCTCCAAGTATCTGTCTTGCCCTCCTAAGTAATATATTTCCTTCCCCACCCACTTTGACCCCCAACCCCCTGACCCAACAGATGTGAACCTTTTTAGAGGACTAACATGCCATATATAATCTACATAAATAGTTCTTGTTCATGTTGCTTTTCAGCCGATTTTTCTAATGACTTCTAGAAGTTTGTGAAATCCAGGAATATGGATCTCTAAAATACTTGTTGAGAACAATATTACAAGTTACTTCCTTATAGCTGAATTTGAGGGAAAACAAAGGAGAGTACTAACATATAACTTTTGTAATTTCTTTATATAAGGAAGCAGTTATCTTACTTTACTCTTAAAATGGGTAGATATTGAATTTCAGATTTTGAGTACCCTATAACTGTGATCAATATTGTCTTATAGGGTCCTGTTATACTAAGCAAATAAAATATAAAGGGACCTTGTCTTCAGAAAAAGCAAAGTTCCATTCCTGAAATTTAAGTGCCATTTGAACTTTGGTTTAATGCCCTCTCATCATCACAAGAGGTGCTACCTGATCACGGTCTTGAAAACTTCTTTCTTTTGGCAGTTTTGCCATATGCCCCTTTGTTCTTCATTTTCTTTTCCTAAGAGTGTATTCTGTGCATTACATTTATCTTGTTATTTAGGTTAAAAAAAAAAACCTAACCAAGAATTTTTAAACTCCTATTATCCAGTACTATGTGGGTAACTAGATGTACAAATTCTTCAAGATAAACTCGTATATCACAGAATGATAGATTGCTCCCCAAAGGTTGAATGATCTTTATTTTACAAAAATCCTTGGTCAAACCTCTAATATTACAAAAGAGAAAACCAAGATCCAAAGATGAACACTGACTAGCTGAAGCTAGCTAGTGGGTAGTAAGTAGTAGAGCTGGGATTCCAACCTAGGTCCCACTACATAAGACTGCCTTGCACCTTTTCGGTAGAATGACCTTTCACTTGCTAGAATATTACCAAAATTATGCAGACTATAGTACTCAGTTTTCTAGATTTGGCTATAGTAAGAACTAGAGATGGTTATCTCTTATATCTGTCTCGGGTGAAAATCATTATCTAATAAACTATGTCCAGTCATATAAGTAAACTGCTGCTCTACATAAATTGATGGCAAGTTGGATACTTTGGGAGACACATTGATGTATTATCAGGTCCAAGGATATCAGTTTTTAAGTGTTGACTTGAATGCACTAATAAACTTTGTACCTTGGTGGAGTTGATCCACCTTAAAAATTATCAAATTTAAGTACCAGTTATTCAACTAAGATTTATTATTAGCACCAACTTTGTGCCTACTGAAGTGCTTTGGAAAAGAAGAAATAGAAAAGATATGGCCCTTGCGCTTTGGTGGAGGTGTATGAAGAGTTAAGCAGCACATCAGAAAGTATGTTCTGTCAGCATCCGATCAGAAAATGATTGCCTAGAGAGGGCATGAGTTCATTAGGGGAGAACTCCTAGGAAGGGGTAATTTTTTAAAATTAAATTTTACTTTTTTTGCATTTATGAGCCAAGTTGGGAAGGATGTGAGAGACATGGTTTGGAAAGAAAGGGGAGGGTATTTCAGCCATAGAAAAATCTAAGTAAAACATAAAAGAACCTAATAGAAGAACTGTGTTAATACATATTAGATAAGGTCAGCATGGGCTTCCATACTGATGGTACATCTTAAATACTAGACAACAAGGAAGTTAGGATGACAACTTCTGGCCTGTATCAGGGAAATAAAAAAATTGAAGTGATGTTAAAGAAAGATTATGCTTGTATTGGGGAAAATAAGAATACTCCAAGTAAGACCGAGGAGTAACTTACTCGTGTGATAGCATAAGAATGAGGTATCACATCATTATTCTCACTAGAAATATGGAGCACAAAGTAATTAATTATGGGAGTTTTCCTGAGGATCCTTTTTTTTTTTTTAAACATTGTTCATACAAAAAGAAAATTAACGTTTCTTGCCTCTGTCATTATCGATTGTTGACCTTTGGTATTCAGGAAAATGCAAAGATGTAATAGGGGATGGATAAGCAATATTATCAGCTTACTACAAGGATAAATGGCGGTCATTGACAAAAAGATCTTTATTTCAAAATTTTGCAGGTAAGTCCATCAAGTGCCCAGATTTGAGGCAGGGTTTGATTTAGGATAAGAAGGAACTTCCCAGTCATTAGAACTGCCCCAAAATGAAATGGGCTGCATTATTTTAAAAAGATAATGAATTCCCTATCACTGGTGATATTCAAGTGGAGATAGAGTATTGTGGAGAGGATTCATATTTTAGGAGCAAATTAGATGACTTCTTAGGGCCCTTCCAACTTTCAGATTCTGTGAAATGGGTGCAGACCCAGCAAGTGTTCAGGTATTAGTGATGGTGCTAGTTTAACTTGTGGGAAGCTTTTTTAAAGTTTCAAAAGTGTTTAGTGATCTGTTATTTTCAGTAGTCTTCCTTTTGCTTCGTAGCTTAAAGCAAGGAGGCATAAGATGTATATTTGTTAATCCCTTCCTTGACTAGATCATTTTGGAAGCATTGATCACAGGTTTCTTGGCTTATGTCTCCAGAGCTGAAAGTGACCATAGGGGGCATCATTTCCATTTTCTTCATTTTATAGATAAGGAAGCCAAGGTCAGGAGAAGGAAGTGACTCGTCCAAGGTCACCTAGGTCAGAGGTAGAGAGCAGAAACCAAATTCCGGTTCAGTGCCTTCTAGGTCAGTGCTCTTTCCACTGCCCCATGCAGCAGCTACCGGTGCCTAAAGCTCAAACTGACTTGTTAATTCGTCTCATTAAATGCAGAAGATGGGCATATTCAACATAGAAACCATATTAAAAGGAGCCAGGAAGAGGTTTAGTTTCTCAGGCTCCATGTCCCAGGCTGCAATAATCATGCTTCCCGGCTTGTTCTCCCTAGTGCTACAACTGTGAAGAGGAAGCCATGTACCATTGCTGTTGGAATACATCCTATTGCTCGATCAAGTGTCAGCAGGAACACTGGCATGCTGAACATAAACGCACCTGTCGCCGAAAAAGATGAAAGCTGTATTCCTCCTCCTCCAGAGAGAGAGAGAGAGAGAGAGAGAGAGAGAGAATCACCCCGATGATTGCTATTCTCAGACAAAGCGGTTTTTGTTTCCAAGAAGCCAAAATTGTTTAGAATTTGCTTCCCATTTTGCACCAGCCTTTAAACACTTTTCGTGAAGAAATTTTGCACAGTAGTTTAAATCTTCTGTTCATGCTCCTCCAGATTTTGTCAGTAAGTAAGATTAACATCAGTGGAGGGTATTTTAAGGGTTATTTTAAATGAATTTTAATTGAGGATTTGTTGCATTTTCAGCAAATTTTAAAACATTTTTAGGTTTTACAGAGATTTTAACCTTTAAACAACAGATCTTTAAAAAAAAAAACAACAGGTGAATACAAGTGAGTTTAACAAAGAAACATTTAAAATAGATCTGAATGTAAGAAATATAGAACTGTTTCAGAAATAAAACATACTACCTTGATGTAACATTTATTTCTTAACCTTGTTGAGCTGGTTTTGTTCAGCTTAATTTACTGTTTAAAGGCATTATCTATTGGTTATGCCAGTGGGTATATGATTGAATTTAGGGAACAGGGTTGACACAGCAGGTGCTAGTCCTGCATATTTTTTCTTAAATATTTCCCAATTGTGTTTTTCATTATTTCTTTTCAATATATAACTTTTATAACAAATTATTAGCTTTGATCTCGTAGTTTAAAATTGCAGGGAACTGGGGTAATCTTTTACTGAGCTGGATCTTAGAAAAAATGAATATTTAAATTTTAAAGTTTGCACATTTCATTCTTGTCCTAACACGAGTGCTTGTAACAAAACAAGGAAAAGCCAAAAACTACCTTTATTCATACATGAAATTTTAGATGAGGCATACAAATTTCTTTAATGCTTCCCTTCCCTCCCCAAGTATCATCTGACTGCCTATTATCTGGTGTCACCTAGTCCATTGTAAGTTAATACTCAAAGGAAAGAAAGCACTTAAGTGTCACAGAAGCCGTTATGTTTGTAGTAATGGGTCATTGCCTGTTAATGAGCTCCATCACTGTACACAGAATGAAGAATAATGCATGTTAATTTTCTTGTATTAAAGATGCCGTGATTTGTAAAAAGTCTGTATTTTGAGGAATGTCTGGATTAAGAAGCATTACCAATAGGAATGGATCGATAGTTGAATAATGAGTTTTTTTTACACATAGATATATAAATCACATCCAGTAAAACTTACTTAAATTTCTTTTCTTTCAAAATGTCTCATAATTTGTTTTTTCAGAGGCTGATTGATCTTAGACCAAGTCAAATTCCCGTTATCATCTAGCTATTTTTTGAGAAGTTAGAGGAATAATTTGTAAATATTTATTTAGATCTTTGATATTTATTAAAAGCAATTACACACAATGGAAGTGAAAGAATAAGGAGAAAAGCCTTTTAAAAAGTTTTCTCTGGGTTTTGTCAGGGTCACTCTAAATATAAAAATCTAACTAAACCTTCTGTGAAAAAAACATCCAAACCTAATGTTGTTGCAGATGGTGGTGACACAAGTTAATTGACCAGCGACTGCCAAATAATGCACAATATTTTGCAGAAACTACATAGCAGCCCCATTCAAAACAACATACTAAACTACACAGTGACGTGCATTATTTCTCGTTTCTGTGTAATTAATCCATGTTGCCATTGTGCTGTGGCACTGGTGAGGTCCATCATAGCTGAAGAAAATTAATCTTGTTCAGTTATTTTACAAATTCCCAAACTTCGATCCACCCCTATGAAAGCAAGTTATTGTGGAAATATTTTTGGTGTAAAATCATTCCAGAGTATGTACTATTTAACTGATAGCTGCATGAAAGTAAGATTTCGTGTTACTTTGGCTTTTTCGTCTCTGTTGACACGGTTGCACATTTCCAAGTTACTACAGCGTGAAAACTGTGTGTTTAAAAAAAAAAAAAAAAAAAAAAAAGACATTGTGGCCTGGTTTTTGTATAAGTTTTAGGTAAAATTACAATTGATTGTTTTAGGAATCATTATTAAAAATTAATTTTCTGCAAATCATAAAGCTATATTACGGTGTTGAGCTTAGCCACTATGCACATTGTAATTATTCATTGTGGCTGTCCAGTTCTATGATGCATTCTGGCATTTTGTAAGCTGCTCTGACTAGCAATATATAGAGTCATTTAATGTGTTAACATTGGTTAATAAATGTATTTAAAAAAAAATCACTGGCTTAATAAAGTGTCAATCTAGTCCAGTCCCCTGCATCTAAATACAACTGCAGCTGAATGTTGATTCTGTATTATGGGTCATTCATTTGCAACCATTTTCCTTATAAAAGAATAATTTTATTAAAGTAATTCTCCTACAAGCAACATTTATTTAAATTGAAATTTCATTCACGATTTTTTTAAAGTTGTATTTTGTACCATGGTTAACAAGAGAGGTGTGATATCCATTTGAGGGACCTGATAAATTTAATACATCGCCATATTTGGATTTTTCTAGCTTTTTCAGGAAAACTGACTATATTTGGTCAATAAAACTGTCTATATCTAAGAAAGTTGGTCTGGTTTCTGCATCATGCAAAACTGGGCAAATACTTTAAAATGTATGTTAGCAAGGAATTCAGCTAAAAGCCTTTTTTTTTCTTCAATTCTTCAATTTGACACTCAATGTTCTATTGACTATTTACTAAGGCACACCAAATTTGAATCACCTGCCATGTGACCTTACATTAAGTCACTGGGATTAGAACATTGTGATTTCAGCTAGAAAACAGAAATGCTTATTCTTTTAGGAATTGTGCTGTCATTGAAATTTGCTAACAAGTATATATGGGATATGTTCACATGTATATATTTGCGTCATTTCTTGGGCCGTACCCTTTCCTCTTCTTCACCCTGCTACTCTCATCCACAGGTGGAGGAGATCCCATTGACCCAAAGGGAACTCCAGCTGCAGGACATGTCCAGAGAGGAAGGAAAATCCTCATTGTAATCACTTCCAACATTCAATGTTTGACCATTTCTGTGTATTATCTTTGGATCTCTATATAGTGTGTCACAAAAAAAAAAAGCGCAAATATCAAAAAGCGAGAATTTATTTCTTTGTAAATTGAATATGAAACAAAATTATCTTGGATTTTTACTGTATTAAGCATTTGTTATTCCATTTTAAGAAATAATGTTCCTATAGCAGTATCTTTATTTGCTTTTATGCTGTACATATGCTTCACTGGAACGTGTCAGACATGATGACGAGTGGATCCCATCTTTTTCTTAATCTAGTGGTGCTCCTACTTTCAGCTCACCAATCCCAAATGTTGGTAGTTTCAGCGTCAGGCTCCCCAGCATTATAAAGTAGTTTACCTGGTCCTTACCTGCTGCTCTGTGCATGTTTCTTGTCCTGTAAGCATACATCTCTGAAAGACAAAAATAGTTTTGAGTTCTGAATACTGGTTTCTCGGATTATCAGAGGAAATGAGGTTGCAACATTGTTAATAAAAATCATTTAAATTACCCTATTACGACTTTGTCAGTCCAATAGCATTTATTAAGTTGGTACCATATGCTAGGCATTGTGTTAAGCACTGGGAATACAAAGAAAGGCAAAAATAATCGTCACGCTAAGTACATTTTTTTAAATGACAGTTGCCACAGACATGTCTCTGAGTCCTGGGCTCATACAGGGATACGATGCTCTAAAATAGCAGTTTAACAAATTGAGGAATTTTCTTAAACTTTGGCAAATTGATTTTAAAAAGTCCACATGTTATTTGGCCAAGTATGACTGAAATGTGAACTCTTTCATTTCCATGCTACGAAAGCAGGAAAAAGTAATAAAAAGAAAAAAAATACCACCACCTGAAACAAGGCCAGACTGTATTAATAAACCATTTAAATTATAGGATTTCTTTTAGAACAGCCATTTTACTTAAATAGCTAAAATTAAATTAACAGTATTGTCTCATAGAAGTCTTGCTTATTGATTTTTAGTCAGTGTAGAAAATCCCAACTTAAATAGGGCAGGTGGCATTGGAATTATTTTATATGAAAACAGGTGTTTATGGAAGTTCTTATGTAGATAAACAATCTATTTGCAATTTGCTTTATACTACTAATTAGCTTAGTTACTACATTTTTTCAATAGACAGTATAAGTTCAATTCAAAATGACTACTTTTCAGGGAGCTTGCATTCTATAAAGAAAAAGTAATTTCTAAAATCTAGTAAGGATGACAAATTGCTAATAGTAGGGGTTCCAGAGGATACAAGTAACAAAAAGGGAAGACTGCGATAGAAATACCCCAGGAATGAGCCTGAAGGAGGAGGAAGTGATGCTTAGAATAGGGGGCTTTGCTTGGGCAGCTTATAACTGAATCACAAAATTTCCAAGTGGAACTGTCTGTCAGATTCCTATGCCTTTTATAATATCAAAGGTAATACTACTGATTTAAATCTCAGTCCCTGAGAGAAATGTGGAACACTGGGAGAGAAGACTAGTGTGGAATGTTAAGTGGCAGAGGAGATGTCTGGTCCATGGTCTTGCCTGATGATCAGGGTAGGGGTCACTGAAGTCCTGGCACCAAATTGTTGACAAAAGGCAGAGGCACGTTCAGTATATTCACCCTCAGCCTGGTCAGCATTGCCCAGGATTCCCATGTAAACCAGCCCCTATCCAAATGATTAACAATTCTGAACTAATGATATCCAAATAAATGTTTTCACCATATATACCCTAAACTGTTGTTGAAGCAACAAAACATCATGATGTGAAATGAAAGGTACTTTATTTAGGACTTGATAGCTTATTCATTCAGCCAGAATAGAGTGCTCAGTTTCAAGGGATATGCAGTGCTAGGAGTTCCAGCTATGAAGAAACTTAGACTCTAGTAGGGGAAATAAGACAAGTGTACAAATCTAGGTCCTATGTGTGCTCAGAGGAAGGTGAGGAGAAAGGGGAAGTTCCATGAAGGAGGTGGCTTTGAAATGAACTCTTACTAGAGTTCCTTTCTATTGAATAGAAAAGGACTTGCGTGGATATACCAAGTGTCAGGAACCTGTGACCTCGAGGCCACATGTGGCCCTCTAAGTCCTCAAGTGTGGACCTTTGAATCCAAACTTCACAGAACAAATGCCCTTAATAAAAGGATTTGTTCTGTAAAACTTGGACTCAGTCAAAAGGCCACACCCAAGGACCTAGAGGGCCACATGTGGCCTTGAAGCCACAGGGTCCGCACCCCTGCCAATATACCTTATGGAAGTGGGAAGAGAGGAGATGCACGGGCAGGACTAGAAGTATGTAGTAATGATATTCTGTATCCCATGGTATGTGTTTAGGTAGCGAGAGAGAAATCTGGAAAGGCAAGAGTTGGACCCATATGTTGAAGAATCTTAAATGTTAGGCTGAAATGTGAACTTGACTTATTAGGTAGTTAGGAACCTTGAGCTAAGGGATATTACCAAAACTGCTTTGAGATTCATTCATCAATGGTATGTGTGATGAGCTGAACAAGAGGGAGACTAGGGGTCTGTTGTTATATTGCAGCTGTGATAGGACCTGAAGCAGGGTAGTTGCAGTGGAAAGGGAAAGAAGGGGATGGAAGTAAGAAGTGTTTCAAAGTAGGATTAATAGGAATTGGTGAGAATTTGAAGAAAGGAGTCATAGGAAAAGGAAGGTCCAAAGTTAAAGGTAAGTTAATTAAAGTTTTCATCCAGGTTTGTCACAGAAAGGGTAAAAGAGGACGATAGAAACAACATGGTTTACTGGAACAGGCAGGACTAAAAGTCAGGGAACCTCCCAGCTCTGGCATTAAATAGATATATCACCTTCAACAAATCTTTTAATATATTCAGTTACTGGTTTCCTCTTCAGTAAAATGAGGTGGCCAGATGATCTTTAAAGCTTTTTCTAATTCTAACACTCTATGATGAATATGATTTTCTTTCAATTGAGTTTGAGATGCTGAGGACATCCAGATAGTGATATCCAACAGAATTAGAAATTAGTAACTTGAGCTAAGGACAGGGGTCAAGACTGGATACAGAGATTCAGAAATTATCTGAATAGTGATAATTGAACCTGTGGGGGTGGATAATATCCCAAATTGTGCTGGTTGAGTGAGAATGTTCAGTAATCATTCCTTTTTTCAGACACATTTAGTCTTCCTCTGTCCATTGATTCTTTTCAATGTGCCTCAATCTTCGAAACAGATAGGCTTCAAAAGCCTATCTTCAAAAAGTTACCTAACACTTTTACTTGATTATCACCAGCTCTCCAAAACCCATGATTCCCCCTCTATCATAGTGAAATTGAGCTTTCCAAAGCCACCAATGACCTTTTCATTGCCAGACCTAATGCCTTTTTTCTCAATCCACAACCTTCCTGCATTTGTTTATTTGGGTAGCATTTGACTCTGCATCCTGCACTCCTACCAAAAGAAGAAACGAAGAATAAGAATTGCAGCATCTCAGAGAACATTTAGACCAACCTGTACCTAAGTGAGCATCCCCTTTGCAATAAAGGCCAGAGATGGTTTCATCTTTCCTTTGGTGGGAGACCTTTGAAGAGAGGTAGACAGCAGCTTCCTGCCTTTTTGAACAGGTTGACTTGTTCGCAGGTTTGCTTCGTTCCTAAAACGGTGTTCCTTTTCCTGTCCTCTGGGACCAAACAAAATAAAGCCTTCAGACATTGAAGGAACACACACACACACACACACACACTCACAATACTAGTTCACATCTTCTGGATGTTCTCCAGTTTATTAGTGTCTCTTTGAAAAAAAATTGGCCCAGCATTGGAATTAATAAATTAGAAATTGCCTTTTTTGAAAAAAACTTTATGTAGTAGAGATTCACGGTTTAGTATGCAATCGCCTTTTCTTTCTCTTACTTGTGTGGGGGAAATGTCTGTGTTTCTTGATGTTTTGCCAGGTTCCTACTAACAAAAAGGAAAAGTGTTTTAAAGTGATGTTCAGAATTGAATCCAGTACTCCAGATGTGATCTGACCAAGACAGGGAACAACAGTGCTATAGTCTTCCTAATCCTGGACACTTTTTGTTCAGTCGTTTCAGTCATGTCTGACTCTCTATGACTCCATTTGGGATAATCTTGGTAAAGATACTGGAGTGGTCTGTCATTTCCTTCTCCACCTCATTTTACAGATGAGGAAACTGAGGCAAACACGGTTAAGTCCTTTGGCCAGCATCACACAGCTAGTAAGTGTCAGAGGCCAGATTTGAACTTCGGAAAATGAGTGTTTCTGACTTCAGACTCTATAAACTGCACCACCTAAATCCTAGACACAAGCTCTCCATCCCCCTTTTTTTTAAATGCAGCCTGGAATTGCATTAGCTTCCTAGGCTACCATACCACACTAGTGACTGAGGTCACAATTCACTAAAACCTCCAGATCTTCTTCACATAAAGTGCTGGAAGGCCTTGCCTCAGCCATCTTTTACTTGTAAAGTTGATTTTTTTCAAGTATTAAGACTTTGTATTTACACTTTAAAGTATTAGGATTTAATTTATTTACCTTGTTGAGATAGGATCTTTTTGGATGTTGACTGTCATCTAGTGTTAGCTCTTTCTTCTACCTTTGTGCCCTCTGCAAATAAGATTTAACTGTGTCATCTATGCCTTCATCTAAGTCATTATTTTTTTTAAAAAAAAGTTTAATTGTTGACCAAGCAGAGATCCCTGGAGCACTTTATGAAGGTCTTTTTTCAAAATTGACACTGCATCATTAATGATTGTTTTGGGGGGGCTATCTACTCAGCCAGCTGTAAATTCACTTAGCTGTAATAGTCTCTAGTCCACATCTCTCCATCTTGCTCAAAAGTATAATATGAAAGAATTAATCGACTATGTTGTTAAAATCTATATGAAATAATCTGCAGCATTCCTTTGATCTACCAATGTAGTAACCTTGTGGAAATAGGAAATGAGGTTATTCTGGCATTTCCTAAGATTTATAGCAATGGGGATCTTAGGGACCATCTAGTCCACCCTCTCATTTTACCAAAGGTGAGGGAACAGAGAGCTAGGGAGGTCACATGCCTTACCCATGGCCACAAACAGCACACAGTAGAGGTGCGTTTATACCCCGATCCTGTGACTCCAGAGACAGTGTTATTGCTACTACAGCATACTGCCTGTTCTTAATGAAACCAGAATGGGTCTTTGTGATCACTGCTGCATTTTGAAGATGTTCACTAATGCTCTCATTCATTGACCACAGGTCATCAATTATATCCATCAATTCCATCTAGAATATAGTTCCATCTACACTCGTGAAGTTCTGGGTGGGCCTTTGACTTGAACTCCTCAAGGGCATTAAGATGCTCTTACTATCTCAATATTTATGTTGGATATCAGTTCTCTATTACCTATTTTTTGTTTTGCCTTTTTTTTAAATCCAAAGACCATTTTCCATTTTGTAGGATAAACAGAAGCAAGTAGGCTAGATGTGTCTGACTTTTCTCTGCCCTTAGTTATCATCACACCCTTCATTCCACGCA